GCCACAGGAAATAAAGGCCCAAAGGCTGGCCACAAAACCACCTTCTGAGTTTTCAGTAAATATGAATTTAATGTATTTTTCATAAAAACAAGGCAGAACAAAAAAAAGGCAGAACACCAGATGTCTTGTATCAATCAAGCTCTGGTTCTGAAAATAAACTAGCCTGAGAGCCTGAAGTTATTTTTCCACTCGGGAACCGGGGCAAACCCCACCCCAGACCTCCTACCAGCAAAGCCCTGTGCAGGAGGCAGCAGACACAGGACAGGCGCTGCCCCAGGTGGGCTCTCCCAGCACAGCAGGGGCCCAGGCCCTGCGTCCTGCATCCTGGTCCCAGGAACCTGGCTGGTTGCCTGCCTTGCTTGTGGCCTTCTGGAGACCATGTGACAGCTGTGATCCGACCACACACATGCCTTTCACACTTGCCACCTGGTATCTACCATATGCTTTTACCAAAGATGGTGCTACCATCTTCACCAGCTTTTCCCAACATTGATTCCTTAAGCACCATATAAAAATAAAAATATGTGTTTTTCTGAAACTGTTTCAGCATTGAATGACTTTTATTTTATCTTTCTCTGCTTTGGTAAATGAAACTCTCATGTAAGGTTTAGGATTTCAAAATGATCCTTCCCTCTGCATCCTAAACCAGACCACTGATTCAGGGAGGAGCTGATTTTCCCTGGTGCCTCCACAGCGCCTCACACTGGACAGCTCAAGCACCTGAAACTCCAATTGTTCAAAACTTCAGGGTACATTTTGGGCATATACACGTTATCTACTTCAAGCAATTTTGAGAGATGTTCTGTTGCCTGGTAAGTTTCAACAGTGTTGAAAGAAGGGAGACAGAGGAAGAGAGAACGCCGGGGGAGGAGTAGTGCTGATTTGTTGGGCATTGGGTTCTTGTGCTGCCATGGAGGCCTGATGGGACGCAGTAGCCATGACCAAGGCTGGCTTCCCAGCACCCAGCTGCAGGAATGAGCAATGGTTCCACAAACGTCACCTCTGGGCTCCGGCAGCCCCAGCTTCTCCGCCCTCCACCAGTCACCCCTCTTCTAAAGTCACTCACACTCTTAGACAGCTAAACACACTCCACATCTGCCCACCTTCAAGCAAGGGGGAAAGGCTCCTGGAGTCCTGTCATCCCCTCGCTACCTTCACCTCTCTTCCTCAAAAGCCATCCACCCTCTGCTTGTCACTGTCATCTCCCACATGGACTTCAAGTCCACTCCTTGCTTCTGGGCCTTCTCTGCCCCTCCTCAACCAGCAACAATCCACAGGACTCAGGTGACTCAGCTGTGGGTCCGGCGTGACACGTCATCTCTCCTGCTTACACAGCCTCTCCTTGGGTGAGCCCCGCTGGTCCTTGTCACATGATCGCCCCGAGACCTCTCTCCAGACCTTCAGAACTAGGACTCTACTTGGATGTCACATAAATACCTTAAACTTTACACGTCTCAAACTGGCCCTGTTTGTCCCCAGCCCCTGCTCCTCCCCCAGGCTGCCTGTGTTCCTGTCTCAACCGAGAGCATCAATATCCTTCCAGCTCTCAGGGAAGAGTTCCTTATGTCATTTCTAGCCTTCCTTTCCCTCACCTCTGCACCCAGCTCCCAACATTCAGTCCTTTCTTCTGCCAAGAAGTGTAACTGGGTTCCCATCGCCTACTTCCAATCTCCTTTCCATGGCCCACTGTGGGCCACCTCGCTGTGCATTAATGGGTAGCCTCAAAACTCAGCCGCTGCCTCAATGCCTTGTTCCAATTATTTCCTTGTTCTGCAAATCTCCTGAACTTTTAAATATACAAATTTGCCTAAGAACCTCTTTTCCTTCAAATTGTTTACTGAACTCCTCCAAACTAATAACCAAACTCAATACGGCTCACAGCTCTGGGCCCCATTCATCTGCCTGTCTTTACTTCTGACTTTTGCTGTGTAGAGACCAACTTGCCTAGAACCCTCAACTTCCAGTGCTTTGTGCAGTAGGAGATGGTCAGTCAGTATCCGTGACACTAATGAGTAGGTGAGTGAGCGCTGACCAGAAGTTTCACTGCGGGGCTGGGTGAACTACGTTTCGAAGGATGAGTAATTAAAAAAACAAAAAGCCAAAAGCCAACACAATAAAAACAAAAACAAAAAACCAAACTGAAGGAGTGGAGGCATGTTGGGAATATGGAAAAGTGGGGGCACAGGTATGATGACACAGGTCACCTTGTACACACAGTACTGTAGCCAGTTGTAAGCACTTGCTTGAAAGGTAAAAGGCATATATGTAAAAAGCAAGGTATACAGCACAGGAAATACACAGAAATACACCCCAAAATGATCCTCCGTGATGTCCAGCTCCATGTCTCTGAGGAATTGCAAACTCCAGAGTGAGCTAGAAATCAAAGGTTAAACATGGGGCACAGAGGAGGCAACCCTCCGGAAGCGAACCCCCAACCCAGGATGAAATGGCCATCGTGCCTCATGTGGCGGCATCACAAGCACCAGACTCCCCCGATCCCTGATGGCAGGGACCACCAGCCCCGGTCACGCCCAGATTTGAGAGTGTGGCTACCGGACACAGCGGGTGGAGCTGAGGGGAGACTGCAGAAATAGGAACAACAGACTGAAAAGTTTAGTAAATAATCCCAGCGCCTACCCAGAGAAGCTTCCCTGATCCAAAGAGAAGGGAAACCCTTAAATTAAGTTTTTATAAATGAACCCTTTGCTTCTTTTACTTCAAGCAGCAGCAGCACCTAAGCCCACTTTGAAGCAGTTGCGCAGCTCAAGGCCAGCAGCCCGTCTGGTGCCCGACAAGCAGGACTGTGGGGTCACCCTGCTTAGCCCACTCTGTGCAGGGAGATTAATCCTACAGCAGTCACACCAGGCAGACACGGCCTCGACATGGTCAGCACACAGGGCTCCCTCGTCCTCTGCACTTCTGCCTGGGCATCCCTGTAGCTGGCCACCAAACACATCGCGCACTTTGGTCTGGATGTTTGTTGACTTAATGTAAAATTCCAGATGAAAATACAGGGAAGGATCTCTTCTCACCCTGCCCTCTGCGCCGTTCCCCTTGAACTCTTGAACTCAGGACCAGACCTGAGTTATCTGAAAAAAGTCCAGAGGCCAGAACAAAGTGCTGACTCCTACCTTCTCACCCTCTCCCCAAAGGGCTCTTAGAGGGAGCGTGCAGCCTGGGTAATTACCAGGCGAGCTAGCTTGAGCCCCTTGCCCTGCTCACCTTCCACTAAAATGCATGGTACAGCATGATCATGAAATGTGCTTATTAATTTCATCCATTTGACACTGCGCTCTTCTGCCCTGAGCTCGACATTAGGAGAAAATGATAGGGATAGATTGTGCTCTTGTCAGGCTTACCAGGACTTTCAGAAAACCAAACTGTCAAAGGGCATCTGCCGCCCACTAGCCAAGTACTCACAGTGACCCCAAAGGTACAAACAGAATGTTACAGATACAGATTGGCAAGAGAAAGGCAGCAAGGCTGGAGACCCAGGTCCAGGGCGGGAGCCTGCCGAGAGAGGGACCCTGGCGCCCGCACTCCCACGGATTCCGAGCCAGCCCTGCCTTGATTCACAGTGCACTGCCTCAGACCTCACTCATCAAAAGACACTTTGGCTTCTCAAATCAGGAACGTTTTTATTAGGTTCCCCAAGAGTTTTATGGCACAACGCCATAGCTAATGATTCTATTTTATGGAAAGTTATACATTCCAATGGAGCTTTGAAGACAGGCAGCAGGTAAGACTCAAATCTTTGTCAAAAGATCCCTTCGTTCTTTCACTTTTAAAATGTTTATAAGCTTTCAAACAGATGAGAGTGATGTGCAGCATTTGAACAGGCTCCCTGGTCTACACACAGGAACCAGTACTGATGGGCCCAAGTAAGCACCTGCCTTAACTGCAGTGACTTCCAGTGGGGATGGATTTTGCCCACCCACCCCTTCCTCCCGGGAACACTGGGAAATGTCGGATGATATATTTGACTGCTGCCTCTGAAGGAGAAAGAGCAGCTGCTCTTGGCATTGGCTGGATAGAGTCCAGGAACGCTGCTAAACACTATTCGATGCAGGAGAGAGACCCGCAGCAAAGAACTATCTGATTATCTGGCTCCAAATGTCAACAGTGCTGAGGCTGAGAATCTCTACCTTGGGGCTGTTCTAAGACCAGGCATCCAGGCCTTTCTACCCCAGGACCAGCAGACACTAATCTAGTCAGTATTTTTTATGTATTCTTTGTGCACATTTTCAAAGAACAAGGATAAAATGTTGCCATAAACAAAATGAGAAAAGTAAAAATAAGATTACCTTAGAATCTCAAAACATATGATGATAGTCATTATTATACCCTCTTAAGGTCACTCTGCACTCTTTAAGCTCTACCAAATTGGAATTTATCGACTGAAACAACAAAATAACCAGTCCCAACACACAGGGCTACCGAACACAGCACAAATGTCTGCTGAAAAGCAAGACAGCTCTCTGCTAGACTGTTGGGCTGTGGGTCACCGCATCTGACCTGGGAGGAGGTCTGGTTCTGATTAACCACTGCACCCAAGGACTGGGATTCTGTCACTTCATGTGGGATTTGGGTTCTCCCAATTACCAAAGTGCAGATAAAGCCACTTGCCCTCCGGGCTTCCAGGGACTCTAAATGAGATCACCTCATAGTCTTTCCTAGGGTCCTAGATCCTTTTCATAAAATGTCACAACTAGAAATGACTTTGGAAGTCAATGAATCCAATCTTTTAATTTTACAGAAGGTAAAAATGATCATCGCAGAGGTCAAATAGTTCAGCCACACCGCAAGCCAGGAAAGGAATCTTCTGATTCCCTAGCCAGACACTGGCCATGGCCTTTCACCAGTGATGACCTCCCCCTCTAATTATCTTAAGTTCCTAGAGGGAAGCAGCACATCTCACACACAGGCCAGACTCAAGGATACAAGAGGTGAATATGTGTTTAGTCAGTGAGCAAAATGTACAAACTAGTGTCCTGACTTACTACATCATAGCCCGTTGGGGCCCGGTTCCGGGAAGCCACCACCCCGACTCCCGTGATGGGGTCCATCGACATCTCTGGCAAGGCTTCCGAAAGGTCTTTAACTTCAGGCATGGTGGATTGTTCCTGGTTCAGAAAAGGAAAAAGAAAGCACACAATTCAAACAGTGTTCCATGTGAGCAATACACACAGATAGAACCAGAATCTTGGGGCAATTTGATCCTTTCCTCGGATCAAGAATTCCAATCACCTCTATTCTGACCCTTGCTTTTCTAAGGTAAGCTGAGGGCAATCTTTGATCTCAGGAGGTATTTTGATGCAAGCCCAAAGCATATCATTCTTAACACTATCACCAGCTGCCTGCCTTCTGAATAGATACTAGTAGCTCCTCTGAGGTTAAATCAAACATAGCTAAGTCTAACACAGCTTTTGTTTTTCTCCTTTTACAATCCTGCCTTATAGAGGCACAGGCTTCCCAACCACAGCCCCTACCGTGCAGAGATTGGACTTTCTGCAGGCAGAGCTCTGCAAACACACAAGGAGCTTTGCAAACATGGAGAAAAAAGTGTTCTGGGCATGGGGCACAGGAAAGATGTTTTGAGCTCAGGCTCCAATTTGAGCAAGAAATTTAACCTCTTGGATACTCAATTTGCTCACCTATAAAGTGAGGCTACGATACCAACACCCTCAGAGTCGATGCAAGAGCTAAGAGGGCCACGGTAAATGAGGAGCCTAGAGAGGTCTCCAGTGCACAGGTCACATGGGCACTCACTCAAAGCTAAATACAAACAATGGTCCTAACTCTTGCCGAGCACTCCGGCTGAAAGAGGAAAGTAGGCAGAATTATTATTCTGCTGCTGCAGTCCTTGACAGGACCAGAGGAGACAGGTACAATATGGACAGCACCAGGCCTGGGCAGCCCAAGTGGCCATGCCACCAGGAAGCAAATGAAAAACGCAACACCTTATGTAAATGAATGTAAGTACTTTTACAAGGGCAAGCCATGAAAAAAGGAGCCAGTTAAATTCCACCTCGTTCTGCAGCAATTAAACTCCACTGGCTGTAGGTCTGCCAGCTCTCTCAGGGCTGGTTACTGCTTTGAAAGTAAACCAGGTACCCTAAGTAGGCAGGCAGGAAGGCAGGCAGGAGGAGCATTCTTACATCTCAGCCTAGAATCACAAAAGGCAGAGACCACTAAAAATGGCTGCAGCCTCCTAAATAGAGACAATCAAAACGCTGCATGCAAGTTACCCGTGTACTCAGTGGAACCCACAAAAGGCTCCGGAAACGGGCTTGTCGGTGCAACAGAGCCAAGTCCCCAACCAAAGCTAGGAGGTGCCTGGCACAGCTGCACGCTCAGCTTCTGTTCATGACAAAAGAGAAACTAAGCAGCCTTTACTTCTACTGAAAACAAGCCTATAGAGGTCTGGGCAGGGGGTGGGGACCACATCAAATCACTCTATCATTTCCTATTTTCCAGTTTCATTCACCAGCTAGGTTTATCTACATAAAGCACAGGGCTTAGTGCTTCCTGCACCCAGTAGGCACTGGGTGAATATTTATTGAGTGACTATGTATGCATGCCCCCAGTATAGGTTTCCAGTTAAATATCTGCACCTGCCTGATCCAAAGCGTGTGCCGACCAAAAAGTGCCTGCACTTGAAAAATCCTGTATTAACAGGAACATGAACACAACATTGCTGCAGTTTGCAAAATATTGGTACCTGCTGCTGGTTACCAAAAATGCTTTGCAATTAACAACTCATTAACAGAATGTACAGATTCTGCCAGTGCTAAATATCACGCTGTGAATTTAATAAAGAACATGTGAGGTGAAGGGTTTTTTTTTTTGTAAGATAGTATTGCCTTTACTATGGGGGGGGGGCTGAGAAAAAAAGAGAGGGAGGAGAGAGGAAAGGGAAGAGAGAAAGGCAGAGAGACAGACAGAAGGTAAGCCTAAGTGAGATATATCTTATTTGCTGATAGATTCATGTCCTCCGGTCACAGTGTGCACAGCCAGGCATCGATGACTACGGCTCTTTTGCTCTGCTGCATGCTATCAATTGCAGGAGGGCCAATTGCTCTGGAGAAGGATGCTCGGGGATGCTCCCACGGAGACAGCCCAGCAGCAGCTCCCAAGATGGCTGCAGGCGGCCTCCAGCTGAGGCAGACAAAGAGCCGGGCGCCAGTGCCTGCCCAAGAGCCAGGGAGAGCTCAGCGCATCTCCGCGCCCGCCCCTTCCCCCTTCCCCCAACTGCGGTGCCCTGGGGATGAGGCAGCCTTTGTGAAACAGACAAATGGCTGCTCTCTCGTGCGGGGCTGTGGCCCACTCCGCTGCGGTGGAGGGAGTCCCACCACCAGCTAAGGAAGCTTTTAATGAGAAACACCCAAGATATCCATGGCAGAGGCCATCGCTCAAAGCTGCTTGCCCTGAATTACATATTTTCTGACTGCAAATTACTTTTAACAGCATCTCCCCCGTCACTTCAATTGACCTTCCTAACAAAAGGCCATTTATTAACTAGCACTCCGCATGCCCCCCCCACTCCAGCTGCTTGGAGCCTGGAGCCCAAAGGGATGGCACTGCGCATCCTTAGCAACCCAGGGTTGCAGGCCAGGCCTCTGCCACAGGATGGCAGAGGTCAGGGATCTGAACCCACAGAGCAACTCTAAGTGGGGCAGGGAGGGCAAGAGATCAGAGTGCCAGGCATGAGGCCATGCTGCTAAAACACCCGAGGCCCCCTTGGCCTAAAAATGCCTGCTCCCATCTCAGCAGGAGATGAAATCTCCTTCCTGGTTCACCTGCATCTGCAGCTCAATATCCTAACTGCTTATATGCAAACACATTGCTGTTGAATCAGTGCAGCACTTTACAAAAGTCAAAAAGCTTCCTCAGGCTCCTTCTCAGTTAAGACACACATCGGACCTAAAGGGTGGCTAGGCCACGTCATGCCAATTTTATAGGACAGCAAACTGAGGTCCCAGGTTCCCAGACACCATGCACCCACAGCCAGCAGAGGCGCACTTCTCCCCAGTCAGGCTTTGGTTACTCTGTGCACAAAAGCCCAACGTGCCACCCAATTGGCAAAGCAGTTTCAACCCTAATTATATTTTTAAAATGCCAAAAGCTCTTCTTTCTCTAGCCACAGCTCAATAAGTCAAAGCAAGGGGGAGAAAAGTATAGAAAGATAAAAGTAACACGGGATTAATTTCCCTTGCACTCAGTTTCAAGATTCAACAGTTCCCTCATAAATAATTTAAAACAATAAAAATGAGCTAAGGCCATGTTTGTGTGGGACGGAGGTAAATTCAGGCCTAATGAGGGAGATCCGAGCACAGCACAGGAGGGAACAGGTTGATGTACGGCCTGGTGCATGCAGGATCGACGGCACACAGGGGCTCCATTACCCTCCATGAGTCCCAGGCCCACCCGACGGGCCGAGGAGGGAGCCAGAAAGGGAAGCCTGTGTCATCTAGCTGTGGTTGCAAGGAGGACCTCTACAGGGAAAGCCAAGCGCAGTCCCAGCATTGGGTGGCGAGATAGCAGAGGTTGAGTTTTGGTTTTGTTTTTTGTTCCTAGAACTTTAGCATTTAGCCCATCTGAAATCACGTCAGTCCTCATCCCAGGCCAGCTAACTAAGGAATGAAGGTACTTGGGCACTTTCAGTCATGGCTGCTCTTGGCCGGGGGCAATAAATACCTTGGGCCATCCTAATTCAGCCTCCTGGGTCATCTCGTCTCCATTCCCAGGGGACCTCTCCCCTAGGCAGGCCTGTAGCCTAGCTTATTCCGAGGCCTGGCTGCAGGCAGCTGTTCCCAGGCTGCCTGAGATGACCTCCCCAAGGCATGGAGGTGCTGCCATGTGTGTACACACATACGCACTGTGTGCGTGCCCCTGTGTGTGGACTGGGCAACATGCAGAGGGTTCAGCTGAGATGTTTCCCAAGCCAGGAGGATTTGGTCCCCCTGCCAAGGTCAACTCCTACTGCAGGACAGGCGGGGCTGGGAGGAGGCCCTGCAGGTGCTGTCATCCAGGTTCACAGGGAAATGAAGTTTAACTAGGAGGCCTCTTCATACAGATGGCACACTGCTCCCTCGCAGCTGATCAAAGAATTACCACAACAGTGCGCCTAATCCCGAAAAGTCAGCAGTGCTGGGCTGAACTGACGTGAACATTGTTTCAGAATCAAAGGCCTGCTCCCAGCCCCAGTCTGGAGAAAACTAAGCTACTGTATCACAGCTGAAAACTCAGGGGAACTTTGATATCATCTCTGTTTAATTTCCACGGCCTAGTGAGCCTGGGGTTTATCTCGTTTTATCAACTCCAGTACTGAAATCAAAACCCAACTAACAACGTTCAGACCTCTCTCCACTGAGGCCCTTCCAGCGGCAGGGTGTGGGCGCAGGAGTTTAAAGTGCTTTCAAGGGCCAGGACTGCAGGGGGTACGGGGTGTAGTCTTCAAAGGAGGCATCCGCCTCCTGCCATCTCAGCTCCCTGCCGGGCTAGGAAGGCCAGCTCAGAAGCAGAGCCAGCGCTGCTGCTGGGCCCAAGGCGTGACTGCACAACTTTTGAGGAGAATAATTTCAAAGTACTAACAGGGGCAGGTTAAATTGAGCTCCTGTAATTGAAATGACAAAAAGCATTGGGTTAATTAAGTCCCTATAGAAGGATAAACCTGTGATCAGTTTGCTTGAATTCCAAAGTCAAGGGCACCAAAGACATAAACTGTCTGCCCACATCTACCTACTTGGCGGGGCTGAGGAAGGGAAGGAAATAAATATTTCATTCGCTGTGGGATACAGCGAAATGGCCAAAGGGACCAGGCAGTCCCCAAATAAAAGCTGCAGCTACAGTGGATATCGTGGGGAAGTGCTTCAATGTTCCCTGTGGCAGCCCTTTCTACTGACAAAGCCACAAGCAAGGCACAGAAGGAGAATCTCCGTCCCAAAGGTGGGAACACAGAAACAGCCAGCCAGCCACCTCCCGGCAACAAAGGTGCAGAGACCACCTCCTCAGGAAGCTGAGAGCTGAGGCAGGGGCCAGCAGCACACAGCATGTGGGCAGCTGGCTCTCAAGTCACCCAAAGGAAACAGCGCAGACTGCATGGTGTCGGCTACAGAACCTC